TTATTGACAATTAAATTTGAAGGTTGATTTGCAATTTCATAATTTCTGTAGCATTGCTGTTTGAGCTACCCTCTCAAAATATTGTTGAATAAATGAATAAAAAAAATCACCCATGTTGCAAAATTGACTATAATAAATAATAATAATTTGGATTTGTAAAGCGCAAAATACATAGGTCTCTACGCGCTATAAATTTGCAAATTAAAATAAACTAAAGAGATGAGCCTTCAGACGATTTTTAAATATCTCAACAGAAGGAGACTCACGAACAAAAATAGGCAAGCTATGTTTTACATCTCCATGGTTATAACTTTGGCATTCTAATATTTAACAAAGGGCCCAGAAATCAATCAAACCAATGCGCATCTGTAAAATCTTTAGGCTTTCTAATATTTAACAAAAAGGGCCCAGAAATCAATCAAACCAATGCATCTGTAAAATCTTTAGGTCTCATGTCACTCACCCCCAGTGGCAAAAAATCTTGCTTAGGCTAGGCTACCTAGGCCTAGACAAGACCTAGGGCCTATACTATAGGCTAGCCTAGCCTACCTATCTATAGCATTGAAGTACTTAATTATTAAAAGTTTTTAAAATTTTAAAAATATCGTTATGAGAGAATAATATGAATATAAGGTAGTACATTAAATTAAATGTTCTAACTACTTAAATTAACCAGATTGAACGATCAAACGATCTTCTATTGATGAGAGATTACATGCCATCCTGTAGTGGTAGGTGAATGACTGCAGACTAGGCCTATATATGCCTTAATAAATATGGATATGAAATAAACTAGCCTTCATCCAGCAGACCAGTAGCCTAGCTAGTCAAGCCTATCATGGTATGCTACAGTAGGCCTAGTATAGTCAAGCCTAGCATTTGACATTGAATGGACATGGCGCGGCTACAAGCAACTCACCTAGTCGCAAGGCTACTACAGCGGCAGGGGTCGTACACGTTTCAAATAATTATAACTCCATGTTTCAACAGACTCACAATATAGCCCAGTACTGCCACTGACAGCTCCTATTTATATTTTTCGGTATAGTACTTACAAATGATATGTTCCTTTCCTTGTACGGTACATAATAAACATGCACTTCACTTGTAGCCTCGTTTTCGCATCCCAACTCCAACCAATCAAACCCCACGGAATGTTGGAATCACACACGAAAAAGGTGGAATGTTGGAATCACAAAACACACCTCCAAAAAGGTGGAATTTCCCTGTTGATAACCCAATACACTGTAACGCTTCACTTGCAGCCTCGTTTTCGCATCCCAACTCCAACCAATCAAACCCACCGGACCAAAAAAAAAAACGTCAACTGCCCTCATTTTCTAGTCACAATACTAAAGTAGCATTTATAAAGTCAAAACGTCAACTGCCCAAGCGTACTAATTTTATTGGCTTGCACAGTTGACGTTTATACCGTACAATACCCGATTGTTACTTTAGTATTGTTACTAGAAAATTAGTACGCTTGGGCATCCCTGTTGATAACCCAAGACACTGCCCTCATTCTCTAATCACAATACTAAAGCACCATTTATAAAGCAAAAACGTCAACTACCCGAGCGTACTAATTGTGTTACTAGAAAATTAGTACGCTTGGCCAGTTAAGCGTACTAATGTTGTCACACTTGGGCAGTTAAGCGTACTAATACATTCGCCTATTACACACCATATATGTACAGCCAGAAACCAGTCTAATAACCACTACCTTTCGGTAAGTACCATTTCATTTATTATTTATTATTTATTGATCTGCTTGTGTGCAAAGCCAAACCAAAACCAGTGTAAACTAACATGATGTAAATTTGTCTTACCATACATGAGTTCCCAGATCAATAGCATCATGCTAATCGTGCTATAACCATTTAGTGCAGTAGACAGTTCTCAACAGATATACAGATTCGTTATTTAATTCAAAGGAGCGTCAAAAATTAAATTAAAACCTGAAAAAATACAATGTCTTTTTTTTTTCCTTAATCTCATAAAAGTTCTGAGGTCAATAAAATCGTACCAAATATACTTTAATCATTGATTCGTACAGCAGAGACAGTTCCTAACAGATATAGAGATTGTGGTACCATTATTTATTTATTGACTAAAAACTTATGTATTTTTTTAATCGTGTATATACGGTTCTGAAGTGTACGGTCATATTAAAATCATGCTGCAGTGTTTAAATTCCTAAAGCAAACAATTTCCTTTTTACTCTTTTGTGGGGTCGATCCACTTTTATTTCAACAAAATACCATCATTCATATATTAAAGCAATGATATAGGTAGTTACTTAATGTACCATTTCAGATTTAATAACATTTATTACATAATGGTCAAATTTAGTAGTTAAAGTACTTAACCTAATTAAAATTATCTTTCAATTTTATATTTTGTTATAGGTAGTACATTAAATTAAATGTTCTAACTACCTAAATTAACCAGATTGAACGATCAAACGATCTTCTATTGATGAGAGATTACATGCCATCCTGTAGTGGTAGGTGAATGACTGCAGACTAGGCCTATATATGCCTTAATAACTATGGATATGAAATAAACTAGCCTTCATCCAGCAGACCAGTAGCCTAGCTAGTCAAGCCTATCATGGTATGCTACAGTAGGCCTAGTATAGTCAAGCCTAGCATTTGACATTGAATGGACATGGCGCGGCTACAACTCACCTAGTCGCAAGGCTACTACAGCGGCAGGGGTCGTACACGTTTCAAATAATTATAACTCCATGTTTCAACAGACTCACAATATAGCCCAGTACTGCCACTGGCAGCTCCTATTTATATTTTCCGGTATAGTACTTACAAATGATAATATGTTCCTTTCCTTGTACGGTACATAATAAACATGCACTTCACTTGCAGCCTCGTTTTCGCATCCCAACTCCAACCAATCAAACCCCACGGAATGTTGGAAACACACACGAAAAAGGTGGAATGTTGGAATCACAAAACACACCTCCAAAAAGGTGGAATATCCCTGTTGATAACCCAATACACTGTAACGCTTCACCTGCAGCCTCCTTTTCGCATCCCAACTCCAACCAATCAAACCTCGCGGACAAAAAAAAAAAAACAAAAAAATTTGCGTAAAATCAGCCTTGCTAATGTGTAATACTGTCATACCAACTAAAGTAACATTCCCCTGTTACAGACCATATATGTACAGTCAAAAACCAGTCTAATAACCACTACCCACCACCTTTCCTTTCGGTAAGTACCATTTTGTTTATTGATCTGCTTGTGTGCAAAGCCAAACCAAAACCAGTGTAACCTAACATGAGGTAAATTTGTCTTACCATACATGAGTTCCCGGATCAATAGCATCATGCTAATCGTGCTATAATCATTGAGTGCAGATATACAGATTCGTTATTTAATTCAAAGGAGCGTCAAAAATAAAATTAAAACCTGAAAAAATACAATGTCTTTTTTTTTCCCCCTTAATCTCATACAAAGTTCTGAGGTCAATAAAATCGTGCCAAATATACTTTAATCATTGATTCGTACAGCAGAGACAGTTCCTAACAGATATAGAGATTGTGGTACCATTATTTATTTATTGACTAAAAACTTATGTATTTTTTTAATCGTGTATATACGGTTCTGAAGTGTACGGTCATATTAAAATCATGCTGCAGTGTTTAAATTCTTAAAGCAAACAATTTCCTTTTTACTCTTTTGTAGGGTCGATCCACTTTTATTTCAACAAAATACCATCATTCATATATTAAAGCAATGATATAGGTAGTTACTTAATGTACCATTTCAGATTTAATAACATTTATTACATAATGGTCAAATTTAGTAGTTAAAGTACTTAACCTAATTAAAATTATCTTTCAATTTTATCTTTTGTTATTGACACATTTTATAAATTTTAATCTTCCTTCTTTGTCTTTCTCTACAATACAACCAACACTTAAAATATTCCTTAAATACAATAGAAATAAATCTACCAAATAATTACATCAATAATGCTTTCCGTACTCCTGTGTCTTAGTTTGCTTTACATCTGATGGTTAAAAATTGCTTATATTCTCGTGCATTAAGAAAGTTCTTTATGTTACGTTACATTTTTGTATTTTCTATATTCTAATAAAGGTACTGTAATTAAATTATCCTCATCATCAACTTCTTCACCTTTCTCTAAAATACGCCATAAATACAATAAAA